AATAAAATTGGAGGTTTCGCAACAGCCCACGGTCATTCGGTAACGTGCGAACTTATTGTGGTACACTTCATTCACGATTGTTTGCATAAGAGTTAAGTCTATTGCGCAAACGAACGCTCTGAGATCGTGGTCAATGAATGATAAAAACATATGTTATTTTTTGTACGTTATTACAAAGTTAAGTCGTACACTGTGTTACTAATAAAAATCTTACGTTACGGACGTTTTTTCCCGGTTAGGGTACCCCTCCGCATCGTCCCATAAGGAACTTCGTTACAAAAAAATCACGATATCTTAGTTTTATATAAAGTTATTAAGGTTTATTATTTACAAGCGCGTTTACATTAATACACGATAGATGGCATTGTTCGTTTTCTGAATTCGTTATATTTATTATAGTTTAAGGTTTAATAAAAAAAAAAGCGTTTTCAAGTGACTAGTGCCTCCACAAGGGGACGCGATAATCCAACAGTGACTAGTTGAAACTCCAAACTACATTAACTTTACTGTTTTTATAAATAAATGAAAAACCAATATGTGAACCGTTCCATACTAATCCCCGATCTTACTAGAGAAAGATCTAATACGAAAAAAAAAAAAAAAACGAAAATTAACAAATCATCGTTTACAAAACAAACATGATTGTAATTAAATAGTAAGTTTAAACAAAGGAACATTCAATGATAGAACTTTCAATCTAGCAATACCAACACCTCTTGGCGCCAGAACCAAATTACTAAGCATCAGAAATGCTAACCTGTCTCCTTTCAAATTTGACTGCGCCCGACATCACACGCCCATGAACTCTATAATGAAACGACCATATAAAAACAAAACTATGAGCATATATGATTAGGCCGATACACGAGTAAGGTAGAACCAATAAACAAACAACCATCATGAATACGCTGCGTCACCATGTCGGAAATCACTTATTGTAGGAGTGACTTGCACTCCTTCGCGAGACCTCTATCCGTGTCAAGTGCAAAACCATACAGTAATAACTGTATATTTGTTGATTCCAAACAAACGAACAAATTAAGAAATTTCTTATTTCATTCAAAATTAGGAAAAAGTATAAACTCACATATGACGTCAAGGTAACATTTAGTTTCATTCAATGACACTGTACCGAATAACTCGTAAAAAATTCTTATTTTATCATTGACGATGATTTAACTAATATAGAAAGAGTTGGTGGCCCAAGTGAAAGAGACGTCGATTTATAAGTAAACTGATTTGTAATATATATTTATTTTTAATGGGCGCTTTTATTAATTTGTTCTTGTCTTTATTTGGGTTTTTATCTATAAAGCAAATATTTATTGTTTGCAGTAAATAAAATGATACACTATTTATGAACACTAGATAATGACCGAGCTTTGCTTGGTTTTTTTTTTGATAACGCCATCTTATTGTGTTAGTTGCCCTCAATTAGGAAAAATTTTATTATTATTCGCCAATAGATGTCGGGAAGAGTTGATTATTGAAAACATGAATAAAACAACATTTTCTGAAAATAAATCGTAGCTAGATCGATTTATCGCCCCCGAAATCCCCCGTATACTAATTTTATGAAAATCGTTGGAGCCGTTTCCGAGATTCAGATTATAATATACAAGAATTGCTCGTTTAAAGGTATAAGATACAGAAAAAAGCCAGTTCTGCTGATGTGTGTTCGACATGCATACCTAAACAATGGCGCGCGCCTTTAACGGACGGGTCAAATGAGGCGAGGCGCGGCGTCAAATCTCGGGTTGCACCGGCTTGGCGCCGTTCGACACTTTCGAGAACTTACCACAGACATTGAAAATGATGAAAAAACAATACCAAAAGTTCTTGCCGTCTTGCCTCACTTCACAAAGTAACAAGCGACCGTAACAAACGAGTTCGCCGAAGAATCGATTTCAGCAACACGACGACGTGCCAGGGTCGACTTATTGTTTATGATCATTTTAATTTGAAATAGCATATGTACGTGTTCCGACTAACATTTCTATCGCTTATAAAACTATGTGAATGTGAAAGGTATCAAACAAGAATTTTATTTATCACGCTGAAACTTTCTTCGCGACGAGATCAATCTAAAACTCTGTTAATTGGTCAATTAAATGGCACTATCCACAACGAGCATGTTGTAAATTCAAATGTTGATAAATCATTCGGAAAATCTGACTTAATTAGACTAAGAGATGCTAGCGGAGCCGATGGCTTGCACCTGAATAAATCAGGACTTAAATTGCTTTCCGCAACGACACTCCCATCGTCGACTTGGCGTTAATAGCCCGTGCAACCGAAATTTTAGACGAATGTTTGGAAATCTTTTTTGCGTTGAAATAGAACACCCCAGACGTGGCAGGCGCCATCGGAAAAAAAAACTGTTGTAATAGCATCCGATTTTAAGTTGTAAATCGGATTGCGCTATTATTTTATATGGAGATATTAAATAACTATATAGATTTAATTAATATGCTTTATCCAACCCCACAAGTCGAAGCCAAAATTGAAAACAATATATTTTAACTTACATATATTACCCGATATAAATGTAATTAACAATACCATTATTGGTTCGTATCAATATAACTGTTGGTACGGCAACTAACATCCAATCATTTAGATTTAACTACTTGGATCAACAACTCCGCCCCGGTTGAAATCGGATGGTCATAAATCAAGAATAATAATGCCGAGCTTTCGTATTTTTATTTTTGACCAAACAAATCTTTATCAACACAATTACACGATCGTTACGAAACAGTGAAATTATTGATTTTGTTGAAGGTTTTTTTTGTTCAAAAGAGGTTTATATACGGAGATTATCGATTAAGTCTAATAACGAAAAGTAATCGATTCAACTCGATACCCAAATTTAAACATTTACATATACCTCCTAAATAAGTATGCCTTGTAAAAAACATCAATCTAATAAGTTTTGTTTTGCGTTATTCACCAATGAGTCACGCAAATATTTTAATAGATATTGAAAAAGTTTGTGCGAGAATCATTGAAAAAGTTTGACTAGCATGTTATCTGATTTTGTAATAAGAGAAGTACATTTTGTTTATCTAAGCGCTTCCAAGTCTGGCAAAAAAAGAGTAACATTATTATATTTGCACGTATAGAATGTTTGTTTGTCCTTGTGGCTAAACAATATCTTATCACCGTTTAAGAAGAAAAAAAGGACAAATTCGTTGTATCCCGTCTTAACGTGGCAGACAGCAACCAGGGAATGACGCGTTTGCTCCAGACGACTTTATTTTATTATTTGTTAATAAATATTTACAAATTAGCATTTTAACAAATTGTAAATATCACAAATACACAAATGAACAAGGCCGTTGAATTTGTTTCGTCCGCTCTTTTCTATATTTCTATGACACTTTTTTGTCCTACGGTTGAGCTAACATTTAATATATTCATATTCACGAAATCGGTAACATCTACATTTAAATAAATCCATTACATTTCATCACAAAGAATCACAAGATAAAGTCAAATCAAAATTTAATATAATTCTAAGCTGACAGCTCCTTTTGACTATCAAAGTTCTCAAGTGAATATTATAATAAAAATTAACAATCTGTAAACGAGAAAGTCATGAGGTGCTACAAAAATTTTAAAGACGACCAATTTATCACCGCTGATCATCGTTCCAGTTAATAATGTTTACGTATTTAAGCCAAACTCTTTTAGATAGGAAGTCACGTTGACATTTAAATAACCCGTCTCAAAGAGATGGAAGAGGAGCACAATAAAAAATAACATAAGAACCCACACACAGATACGTTTCCACAAATCTATAATTCTATCAGCAAGTCCGGCAAATACGAAAATAAGCATCAAAGTGTTTTTTAGAGGGAAGGCGACAAATGTCGAGCAGCAAGCCGCAGTAGCAAACACGTGTTACATATTGTCTGACAATATTTACAGTTGCTTTATTAGTCACGGATAGAAGAAAATGAAAATAGCATTTCAGAATTCACAAGAACGCGTCGTAACAATAACATCAAGGAAAGATTAATTTCAAACAATCCAAAGGCACAGACGTATAAACTTTTATTCAAGACGAAACCTGGAAATAACGTACCTCCAAAGACATGGTTGGGTAATTATCATTAAGCTCTGTTCAACAACTATTCATATACCTACGAGAGGATGTCAATAAAATCCAAATCCAATTGCGTCGACCCTTGATTTACAACGAATCAATAAAAGAGAAGGCTATCATTACCCTTTTTATTGCGTATTCAATAAAAGTAATGTGCTTCGTAATGAATGCGACGACGTGGCGACAGATTCCAGTTAAGAGCTAGATTTCTTACAAACGTTTGCATTACCTACGATTTAAGAAAATACAGACGAAAAATCTGTTTCACAAAATGTTATAAATACATTTAAAAAAAAAAACATTTCGATGCAAGAATTTAAAGTACATATTTCTATTTGTCGATTCATATCAAAGTTCGCAGGCATTAGATTTAATACCAATGCAACATACCTCATCTGAAGAGAAGTTTTATAATGAATTCATCTATTATTTATAAATCAAAGGAATGCTTATCAGAATTAGCAATCCAACTGTTTATATGACATCAATATATCAATTGCGCGAACATAAGCACAATATTATAGTAGGATTGAAAAAAGACAGGGTTTGAGAGATGGCTCGTAAAATAAAATAAGGGACTACGTCCGGAGATATGTCAAGATAGTAAGCGATGCGGTGGGGGGCGCAGACCGGCGCCGGCCTTGCTCCCCGAGACCCAATTAGAAGCACACCTTTTGGACATGTGCTCTCACACTGCTTAACTAACACTAAACCAAATGCTAGGGGACAACTACATCCGTTACCGTTTATCACAATTTTTTCGTCAAAATTCTTTCGACTGTTCGAGTTTTGGCAATTTTTTTGGGTCATTTCCAGTTTTGTTTCTTCGCACTAAAGTTTAACGGTATCGTAAAGTAATTCGTAAAAACTGAAGAGTATTTCAACGTACCTTGGTCTTCACAAGTTTTGCATTTTCTTTGCACATTTTAGCAAGAGCGTGATACTCGCCTCTCGCGGCACACAATATCCATTGCTTTTGTTTGGAATCCAAAGGATCTGTCTCACTTTTCTGGTCAAGCTGAAATAAGGCTAGGTATACTTAATACAAGAAAATTAAATTGTTATTTTCAATCTCAATAGAGCAGATTCTTTTCTTACCGAAATCCTGTCTTCCTCGTCGGTACCCTGTAAATGGAATTACTATTATGACATCGGCTACATATTAATTTTACGAAAAGAAAAATCACTATATCGGTCAGTATGAATCAATACTGAAAAGAATTGATTAGAATTAAAATAAATAAAGACGATATTTACATACATAATAAATATCCTAACGACACATATAAATTAATCGGAACCTAATATTTCAAAATTAATAAATGAGTACTTATATTGTGAAAATAATATTTTGAATTAATGGTCAATAAATTCGAATTCTCCCGTCTTCAGGCTTGCGCTGCGTTTAATGCAGGATTCAAAACGTCTTCAGTAATCTATATGATAAAGTGTAATTAAAAACCATAAGTGGTGCATTATACAGTTCATTTTTCTGTAATGTTATAACGAAGTTATGATGTATGTGGCCGACGTGCAGGGCGTGCGCTGCCCAGCATGACCACTTTACCACCTGTCGTTACATATTTATGTCTACACTATTGGCCTCACTGTTAGGGACTTGGATATTGACAAGATAACATCCTTAATGTGATGTGTTTGATTTAATAAAAGATTAAGACTGTATTTAGATTTTGCTCAAACTCGAACAATTAAAATTAGAACTTCACAAACGTATAACTATTGTTATATATCAACGAATATTTTTATACTTTTGTTCGTAAATGAAAACTGACGTACTTTTCTGATACAATTACTTATCTACTGTATCATTTTTATTTTGTATACGCATATGTACGTAAAAATAGATGCTCTGATTGTAAATGAGACACATGTTTGGCAACAATGGTCATAAATAGAAAAGTCGTTAAAGGCATTTAAAAATAATGAATATAATTGAAAGCAATGCTTTGACTCTTGGTTGCCGGAGAACTCCAGGCGTGCGTGCGTCCCGGCTCTCAACAGGACGTCGGACGGGTCATGGTGTTCGCGCTGAGACACATTATGGTGGCAACGATGAAGGCACGACATTACGATCCATACACGTCATTACTTCCTAACTTCACATATTATATGGATCTGACCAATCAATAAATCTTCCCCGACCAAAAACGTACAGTGCTTTAATTAATTATTATATTATCGGCCACAAAACGGACATAAAGAATTAGTCTGGAAAGCCTATTGTATAGATAGAAGATAAGATTTTATCAAGAGACTGGCGCCTTCGGCCGGCCCGCATTGGTGCAGTTTCGGTTTTAAACGCAACGAAACACTTTCAACATACCACATCGTTTCTACAAATTGAATTTCGCTGCAAAAACAAGTTCCTACTTTCGCAAACGTTGCCGCGTTACGATCTCAGACATTCAATTGTTTAATCGTCAGAATACATATGAGCCGCGTCTCGGTTTTATCATTCAATAGCTGACGGCTAATTCACTCGTTCCTATTTTCCAGTTCGACAAGGCTCGTTAAGTGTGGCATCCGCGTTGTTGATGGCTGCAAGTGATTCTCAGACCCGAATAACATCGAGAGAACAATGAAATCGGTCATATTTTCCTGCCAACTTGCAACAGACCGTGCCACTGTTATCTACCTCATCGCGCATAATAACTATGCATTTATACAAAACGTTGATACTTCAAATCAAGTTTATTTGCTTGTCATTACAAAGTATACAACGTTGTTTCAAATAGTTTGGGTATGTTTGCCCACAGCCTATGCCAGCCATTAGAATCTCGTTCTTTTACATTATAAGTAAGTAGATCTATAATTAAACCCCTCTCATGGTTTAAGGAGGTAATAAAAAGTTTTAGTAGTTGCTTAGCTACTAAAGAGGAATTGAATTTCGAGTTTGCCGTAATACCGAGAAATTGTAAACAGACTTTTAAAACTTCTTCAACTAAAGTCATTTTAACTCAATTGCGAGTAATCCCACGTGTGAAAATTGGAACGGCTAACAATCAAGGTCGTTGGTTAACCGGCATAGATTAATCCATTAAACTAAATTAAATTGTTGATGCCATTAAATAAGCACCTGTCATTTTTGTAAATACTTTGACATTGGCAAAATCAATGCCAAAGGCGTTGGAGCCAAATTATCTAAAAGAAGAAGAAGAAGAAGAAGAAATCAAAACATCTCATGATGCATCGTCACTTTGCTAATAAGTGTACCTACAAGGTTTAGAATACTTTAATACCACATTCGAATATGCGAGGAAAATTGTCGTGTCTTTTCTAACGGATCAAGACATTTTAAATGCCTAGTGCAAATCACGAATGACCTTTTTTTAGGGCTCTAATGGTGCACGTGCGCGTTTGTGCCACACGATAGTAATTGTCGAGGGACAATCGACCACAAGTCACGAGTCTCTGTTCAATGCAACACATGCCGTGAATAATGATGAAAATATTGACATATACCGGACAGGATTGTGAATTATTTCAAAGTTAATTAATTACTAATTCTCATGTGTCAAAGAATTAATTCCCAAAATAGAAAAAAAAACATTTACGACTCGCTTTGTTTTTTGTAATAAATCTTTGACGTCTTACAATATTTTATACACTTCGAAATATGTATATTTTTATTTTATAGCAGAGCGTGAGAGGACTTTCATCAAAATCTTAACATTTTTATAAGACAAATTGACGAGCGGAAGTGTGTGCATACATCGTCAGTCTATTTCAGTGTTGATTTATGTGTCGGATTCTCCCTTGGACGGGTGGCAATGTGGCATATTAGTGAGAAGCGGATTGTTCATTTAATATTTATTGCTTTCTAGACGTGCCTAAGTGAACTCCTAGCGTGTCTAAATATTTTAAATGGTGTTAAAGGTATTGCTAACTGCTTATAAGTTTCAAGTACTTGTTAATGCAGCATAGTAGGCCAGATGACATTAAATCAGAAAAAGTTGAGAACTCGACATTTACTGATCTTGAATTACTGCTAAGTTATTTTTAATTCATTAAACCGTAAAGCTCATAGTGGCAATTTCAAGGTCTATTACATGCGCCGAAGCGTACGATACAGCTAATACTTGCCATTAAAAGCTTTTGTTGTTTTCGTCATGTAAGCTTCCCCAGTGTGTAAGGGGTTGTCTCGTTCATTTGATGCGAAATTATTATTGAGCATTTTTTTGCACTCGCCACACATATACCTTTGTTTTTCTCTCTCTGTAAAATATGCCCTTCGGGTGTACTGATATTGTATGTGCCATAAAAAAAAACGGCAATTAAAGTATTATTTCATAATAAAGGACTCGGGATCTCACTCGTCATTTATAAAACTACTTAAAAGGCCAAAGGTGTGTTTAAACTTATAAACGTTAGCAATTTCCCGTTTCGTTCCGATATCCCGGCGCGATCACTAAATTTATTATCGATAATAATCATATTCGACATCATTTTGACCGCCAAAAGGCCATGACGAAGGTTTTACAATTCAATTAGTTACACCAGGTGTCGACGGTCAGGAAACTTTTGCCCCTAAAAGCCGGAGCTACATTTTAACGTTTAAGGAGCTGTTAAGCAATTCATAGTCATGTTCTATAGTAGTCGAATATTGTATTAGTCTATTTAACATATTTTTTTCATAGATATTCATAATATTAGGATTATTTCATTACGATTATTATGAGAATATTTTTAATATTTATCTATTTTTATTATTTAATTTTTTAAAGCCGTATTGGCAGACGAGCATACGGCCCACCTGATGGTGAGTGGTTACCGTCGCTCATGGACGTCAGCAATGCCAGGGGCAGAGCCAAGCCGCTGCCTACCGTTTAATACTCTCCACAAGCCTCGTTTGAAGAAGAATTAAACTAATAACACGCAACTACGGATCGACAAGGAATTTTATCGAAATTTGTTTTAATAATTAGGCATAAGTACCGTTATAAGGCATTATATCCCCACATTACTGCACATTGTGTATATCTAAAAGAATTCATTTAAGTAATAATTTAACGGAAATAAAATACCTAATCCTTTTTGAAAAAGAATACCTTGTTAAACACACATATTGATTGATATCTCGTCAAAACACGGCCTAATTAAAGTCTATATCGCATTGCTTTGGATCAAAATATTTGTTAATGATTGTCAGCCGACTAAACAGGTGGCCCTGGGGGCTGTTTCTTCAAATCACATTGTCCAAAAATTACTTTACTCGTTATAATTTAATGCAACACGAAATGTTAGTATCAACATTCGCATTATTTTTTTTGTCTTTTCTGTTAGCTCTTAGAAAAAACCTTTCGGTGTACGTGTTGAGAAATGGTTACTCTCGCTCAAGCTCCTTATAGTCCAGGATATAACTTAATCTACCGAGAAGGACACTTAAACCTCATCGAATTATTGCTTAGATAGGTGGACGAGCTCACAGCCCACCTGGTGTTAAGTGGTTACTGGAGACCATACACATCTACAACGTAAACGCGCCACCCACATTAAGATATAAGTTGTAAGGTCTCAGTATATTTACAACGGCTGCCCTACTCTTCAAACCGAAACGCATTACTGCTTCACGGCAGAAATAGGCGGGGTGGTGGTACATACGCGTACATACGCGTCCTACCACCAATAAGATGGTTCCTAGACAAAATGTCTGCAAACGAATATTAAAAGCAGCCGTTACTGTTTATAGGCGCGAACTTTTCTATGATAACCATACGGTGTTAAAAATAAGATGAGAGTATCATCTCAAGCAATTCCTCTGAGCCTTAATATGGAATTTATTAACTGAAACTTTCGTCATAAGCTTCTGTTCAATAGTGTGAAATGAATAAATAATTTGCATGAACTTTCGATAAACTATGCCTAAGCACGATATCTACCCCACCGAACGTGGTCTCGCCTTGTCGCGGCGGTGGGGCTTAAGCGTGCACCCCGATACCGTGGAGCAGCGTTGTCTGCACAGGGGTGCCGTGAACAAAGAAGACTGCACACCGTGTTCCCGTTTCCCACCTTTGCTGGACAAAGTGTGTGTGAAGCGGGAGAGGGCTCCCTTCTGGAGCCCTCTTGGATGCTAGGCCATGTCCCCGGCAGCTCTTTGGCTGCTA